TGGCTGCAGCCACAACATGGGGCGCGAGCACAGGGGGGTTAGGGATCAACTCACCCTTGTCCTTCATTTGCGTCAGTCTCCTCCTCTTGGGCGTGGGTGGTTGGGCTTGTTGGGATGATGCATCACCCACTAGATCACAGACCTCTGCTGGTGTGTCAATGACAGCATCTTGTGAGGACAGAGATACAGCAGGTCCAGGCCCAACAGGTTCTGCAGTAGCCATAGGGCCATCAACAGGAGCCTGTACAGGCAAGGGGATAGACAGTAAAAAACACATAAGCAATCAAAATAAAGATTGTCATATATGAACTATTGAACACGTACACAAGCCAACAGACTCTAAAGATTTATGGTTTTGGTTTCTTGCACTTGCAATTGGTATAAATAGCTAGGCCTCCATAGCACCTGGATATCGATCAAAATAGTTGCGTACGCGGATAGAAAATGGCACAAAGGCAGACATATCCTGCAGGCACTGCCAATATTTTCACCAGGTGCCCCACCAATGTTCAAAAAAAAACATCACGTGTCTTTTGCACAGGTTGTGTGACATATCACTAGTTGAGTGGCCTCTTCGCCATGTCCACCACTCGATTCAGCATGATCAACTTGGACAGTATTGTCCGTGGGAGCGACAGGGTCCTTGGGCAGATATAGCTAGTCCCTAGGGATCCAAGTACCTTGTCAGAAGATGATTGGAGACACTATGTAGGTTTGGAGGGTCCAAGCATGTGGGAAGGTACTTAGATCCCTACAAAGTGCACAACAGACAAATGTCACCAGTCAAGTGGCCTCTATGTCATGTCCAGAACTCGGGTCATCGTGACCAACTGGAGCAATCTCCATGGGAGCCACAGGGTCCTTGGGCAGATGACTTGCACAAAATATTATTTTCACTGTTTTAAAGTCACAAGCTCAAAAGCAATACACAGCAATACGTGCATACACAACACCAAAAGTGAAATTGAGCTTCGTCATTCATCGTTTCTTCTTTGATCATACGGTCACTTGCAGGTGACTCGTCAACCAAGTTCACATGCGTGATGATCGGCTCATCATCATAATCAACATCCAGCAAACGCACACACTCGTCGTCCTGCGTGGTGGCAGGTGCACTAGTGTTGCTCTAGTCTAGTACTGCTGGCATGTGTTAATCTAAAATATGTATTGCATGATCACGGTTGAACTTTGTGGCCATTGCCACCTCCACTGCAGGCAGTGTAGCAGACTGTGTATCATCTTCAACTGCCATAGCACCCACCTGCCAACTAACAGGATTGGAAATATAAATGAAAAAGACTAGCTAGCAGCTAGCAAGAATACTATATCAGTCAAGCAGGAAACCAAAAATACATATGTCTTAAGCACCTTCTCTGCTTTGATGGCACGAAAGCTGGTGACAATGCTCTTCAGCACTTGAACTCTTTCGTTCCTTCAGGGTTCCAAAAAAAAACACAAAGAACAATCGATACAATGAACTTTTCACATATTGATGTAAAGGAGTATTCATATCACACCTGGATTCAGCTGTCCGGTTGGTGAGATCTCGCAAGTATGTCAAGAGCTTTCTCAAGCGCTGAGCCTCACAATTTGCCCATTCCTCGGTGAAATGTCAGGGTGCTGGCCTATGAGGCTTCATCCAAAGTAAGTTGAACCAAGCGATATATAGCTAATGCATGGTCATGCCTGTTAGCATAATTTTATTGTCAAGCATCCCGGATCTTGCCCTTCCCTCCGCGTCGAAGATGCAAATCCACATGAAAGTTGCTGCGAAGGGATAGTAGCAGCAAAGCCCCCTGAACAGATGTAGTTAAAACTGGTCAATGCCATATCTGAAGAAAAAACACACACACAGTTTGTTTTAAAAAAAAAGTGTCTAATTAATTACATGATATGTGTAAAAGACATCAACCCGCCTCAAACTCTGCCAAAATTGGAATTTCGTGTGTTGCATCATCTTGCAAGTACAACTCAAAGCATACGTAACACATGTCTTTCACCAAAGAGAAGTTGACCGCCAAATCATTTTCAGTAATGATTGCCCGAAGACGCTCTTCAAACTGAACCAGCTGTCGATCTGGAGTACTCATGATCACTGGTCCCCTCATGGCACAATGCTGCTGCAAGGATTCAAAAAGCTGTAGGCCAATAGCCTAAGCCATCAAGATGGTTGAAACTCAAGACAACCTGTTTGCGAAATAGGATAGGATTGACACAATTGCTATATTCCAAAGGCAAGGAACACTAACCTTGAAACGCATGGGTTTGGTCACATGGAGATCCTGCCCCACCATGTGCTCTTCGATCACTGACCCCTTCTGCGGCATTGCCCCGGCCAAGGTTGCAAGAGGATGGAACTTGCTGAGCCAAACTTGAAGCACTTGAAAAGGGATGGCCAGCTGATGCGGTGGTTGGTCATGATGGTGTACACTGATCCCAGAAAAGGCTAAGAACACAAAACCTGCGTCGTGGCCCGCGCGATGCGACGACAAAACCGAGAAAACTGAGAAAACCAGAAAACCGAGAAAACCGAGAAAACCGTTTTCGCGTTTTCCCGTGTGGAAGCTTTTTCCAGTTTGCTTACGTCTTCTTGCTTGTCTTGCCTTTGAGCGTGAAAACCACAACCAAGAAAACCGGCAAAACGAGAAAACCAAGAAAACGGTTTTCGTCGTTCTCGCCGTTTTCCCGTTTTAGCCGTTTTCGCCGTTTTCGCGTTTTCGCCATTTTCGCCGTTTTCGCCGTTTTCGCCGTTTTCGCGTTTTCGCCGTTTTCGCGTTTTCGCCGTTTTCGCGTTTTCGCCGTTTTCGCCGCTTTCGTCGCTTTCGCCGTTTTCGCCCGTTTGCGCTTTTTTTCGTTTTCGCCATTTTCGTAGTTTTCGCCGTTTGTGTCGGCTTCGCGCAGTCGTTGTTTTCTTGGTCTTCGCCACTTTCGAGGGTTTTCACTTATGCTCCTTAGTTGTGCACTAAATCTCAACGGTTGAAGTTTAAGTTCAATTCACGAATCTTAGTCAGTGAATCAGAATGATCTTAATCCCCAATCCAAAAGGAATATCACCTCATCACAGGCACTACGCATGAACGACCAGATAACGTGACCAAGTCTATCCAGAGGGTACCCAGGGATGAAAGAAAAACAAGAATCAGACGACGTCCATTCCTCTCCATCAAACTGAAGAGCCGTGGTATGCCTCATGGCTCTCCTTGCGCGGAATCGACGAGCTCTTGCGACGCAAGGACAGATTGGAAACCAAGGGCTTGCGATGGACTCTAAGTTAGTTCGTGCGCGAAATGCAGGCGCGAGTGCGATTTGACCTGGTCCGGGACAACCCTCTGCGGAGATCGTGCGTGTCGAATGCGCGAAATGCAGGCGAGAGTGCGATTTGTCCCAGTCCGGGACAACCCTCTGCGGAGATCGTGCGTGTCGAGTGCGCGAAATGCAGGTGAGAGTGCGATTTGTGTTTGTCCGGCGCAACCCTCTGCAGGACTGTGGACTTTGTAGTACAACTTCAGTGCGCGGAGCAATCTGTGGAGCTGAGAACTGGCGACTTTCGAGTAGAACTTCAGTACGCGGAGTATCGCAGGAGCTGGAAGCTGAGAGCTGGAAGATGCGAACTGGCGACTTTGTATTTCCTTTTTTTTTGGTACGCGGAGCAATCTGTGGAGTCTTAAGCTGAGAACTGGCGACATTGTAGTACAACTTTAGTACGCGGAGTATCTGGGGAGCTGGAAAATGAGAACTGGCGACTTTGTAGTGCAACTTTAGTACGCGGAGTATCTGGGGAGCTAGAAGATGAGAACTGGCGACTTTGTAGTACAACTTTAGTACGCGGAGCAAGCTGTGACGCGGAGTCTGGAAGCTGAGAACTGGCGACTTTGTAGTACAACTTTAGTACGCGGATGAGTCATCTCTCGCGGCTGAGTCATCTCTGGCGCCACCCGGCTCTCTTGAGAGGTTGACAAATTTTAGCTACTTTGCTTACTCATAAGTGGCTGCCACAAAAGAGTCATCGTGACGTTAGTATGTGTGTACTTCACACCTTCATGACAAACGATGTTCGCTTGGAATACACGAGTCGCTTGTCATGAGCGTCACGTCGTTTACTCTCAGGTCGCCCTGCTCGTGGAAACTTCAGTGTGAAATGTACGTTCTTCAGTTCTATTTGAACCTCTTCAGCATTGTACTTGCACAGCTAAGGTTGACGTTGCGCAGCCGTTGCATCGACGCATCTACGTCATACACCCCCTCACCTCTCTACATATACACCGTCACACGCTCACATCCGCAGATCTACCTCTCCACCGCACCACACCCACACATCTGCACATCTATATCACATCTGTACATCCACACTGTCGCTCCTTCACATCTGTCCCGTCTTTCTTTCTTTCTTTCTACATATCTTTTCTCTCGTCTCTGTGCATTTACATCTTTGCACGCTCACATCCACAGATCTACCTCCACCTCCATACATCTACAGAATCTATATTGCACCTGCGCATCCACACTATCACTCCTTCACATCCACCCTCTCTTTCTCTCTTTCTATACATCTTTTCGACAGTGCTGGACAATTACATGTCTCGCTCTCGGGCCAACCGTCGTCTAGTTCTCAGTTTAATAACGTTTTCAACACTCTCCTTTTTGCGTGCTACTGAGGCTTATTATCAAAGGAACAAAGTCCTATTCTGCAACTCTCCATTCTTCTGAAACTGGTCTTTTGCAAATACTTGGCACTCTTCCCCAACTACTCGCCGTTTTCGCCGTTTTCGCGTTTTCGCCGTTTTCGCGTTTTCGCCGTTTTCGCGCCGATGCGGTGTTCTAGAAAACCGTGAGCTGTGTCAAATCCAAGCACTTTGTTTCCGCCGTTTTCGCGTTTTCGCGGTTTTCGCGTTTTCGCGTGGCCTGCCCCCGCATCACCGGGGGCCGAGACACACGTTTCGTATGCACAGTAGGAGGGTGGGTGCCCATGTGGGTTGTTCTTACATGCTGGGTGATAATATACCAGGGATCCAAATATATATATATATGCTATATCCAAAGTCCATGTCAGAGTTTTAAATGCTCAATGCCACATCCGATCAATGAGTGGCCATTCAACTCCCTCCAATTCCCTAGCTCTGACACTGAAGCAGCTGTGGCTGGAGATCGGATGGGCGCACCTTTCAATGCATGGAGCCGCAGCAGGCCCATCTCCCATGCAAGTTGAACCCGCAAGTAGTAGATTCTTTTGTGTTGGCCTCCAAAGATATTGAATTCTATTCTGAGTGATCCAAACCTCAATGTGGCACATGATGTGCTGTTTGGGTTTTGCCACGTTTTTGAAACTATTGTGCTCAGATGTGGGAGCCACCAGGCCTGCAGTGGCCGAGACCAAGATGCAATACCAAAAACAGCTGCTTCTCCCATTCCATCAAATCCACCAACTCTGCGGTTTTTAGAAGTTCTATGCTTCTAGGCCCCAGGATTGCCCCAGCACGGTCTTGGACATGTGGGATGTCCCGCGTCCATTCTGAGAGAACTTTTGGCCGTGTATAGCCTCACAGACCACACATCGAAGTACCTTCTCAGCATGTACTTGGATCGCTAGGGACTAGTAATGCCCTTGTTCCTAGTAGCAATGCCCGTGATACTAGTAGTTTCTTGTTACAAGTTGTTTCGGGAGCAGTTTGGCGTTTGGCACTTACTCCAGGACAAGTTGGTGCTGGATGTTGGAGCCGGCAGCGGAATTCTCAGCATGCTTCTCGCTTCAGTGTGTACACGTCACCCCGCAAGACCTCCTTTTTTTGCCCGCCCTTGATTAAGCAGGTGCCCACTTAATTAAGTAAGGGCTAAGGCTAAACAGCCAAACAAACTACTAGGTAAGCTGCTACTAGCTAGGACGCAGGATAGCTCACGCTATTCATTTGGCTACAAGGATTATATTGGTGCCAGAAATCTCCGGAGGTATATATTGGCATGCAGTGTGGAGATGCGCGTGTTTCTTTTATGAACACACGGGGAAGGCATGTGGTGGAGTGTGGTGATGTGTAGTGTTGTGACATGTAGGCATCAATAGGCATCAATTATTTGTGGTGACCCAATTGTCATGAGATGTTTTGGATGACTGAGCCAGGGTGTTTTGCGGTGCTGGGCTGAATGGCATTGAATGGCATTATAGCTTGTGATGCGTTGTGACCCGCGTCCATGTTTGCAGAAATGTGCTTTGTCATGACTTATGGTGTGTGAGTGAGTTCTTGCGATTTGTCACAATAGGTTGGTGATCAGTGGTGATTGGGGGCGTCGCTAGCTGTTCTTTGTGGTGAAGCCAGAGGGCCATGCTCAACGCTCCACGGGGCCCACGGGGCCCACCCTGGCCCATGGCGCAGGCACCCTTGCTTTGCAGGATGGTGCTGTGCCACTAATGAGCGGTAGGAGTGGCGCCGGAAGGGAGGTACCAGCAGTGGCAGTAGTCGCCGTCGTCGTCATGGTTGCAGTAGCAGCAGCCCAAGCAATAGCAATACAGTAGTAATTGCGCTTGTTGTTGTTGTTGCTGTTGTCGTCATTGCGGTAGTTTTTTGTTGCTTATGTTTGTTTAAATAATCAGTTTGCTTTTGTTTATTGGTGTTGCTCTGGCAAAGTCAGGCACAATCATCAGTGTATGTTGGGTTTGTCTTATTGCCTGTTTCAGATAGATAGGCCTTTACAAACCATCATCATCTACTTCTACTGGCAATAGGATAGGCCCAAAGTATATACAACATACAGATACATACAGTATATTTATACACAGTATATATATATATCTATGTACATGCACAAATGCATATGGCAGTTGACCCTGCAAAATACGCATGCACCACATGCAGACCTGAAAACACACATTGTTGGATTTGGCTGAAGGCTTTGCGCCAAGCATGGCTTGGCAAAGCATGTTTGGGCTGTAGAGGCAGTCCCTGGGATGGCTCGGATGGCGCAGCAGTTGGTGCAACAAAAACGGCAAGCAGAGGTGTCGATGTATCAAGCAATATATTATGTGCATATATTTTTTGCATTTGCAAACAGTGCATGTAGTCAAAACATGATTTTTGTTTAAACAATTATGCACTCTACATCTATCGTACCATATCATGCATATATATATATAAGCTATTAATTAATACGTTTAACAAAAATCACAGAGACGGACATTTAGTGAGAGACGTTCCTTGCTTCGCACAGGGTTCCAAGAGTGCTAAGCCCAAGCCCAGGCAGGCGAATGGATTGCAGGACAAGGCTGTTGGGTGTGTGCTGCAGCACAGTTGCTCATGACAACCTGCCACAATCAATAGTTCATGAATTTGAATCAACAAGTATTCAACTATTTCCACCTGCCACAGGGGAGGCAGCACTGCTTTGGAAGAATTGGAAGAATGACTAGATGATTCAAGTGTCTCAGAGGGAGGCGGTGCTGGCCTGCGACCACAGCCTTGTGCAGGTGACAATTCTCACAGGCCGAGTAGAGGATATCACATTACCAAATAAGATGGTAGCTTGGCTTCAAACCAGGGGAACGGAATGTGTTTGGTTTCGCAGGGATTTGTTGGGTTCCAGCTCTCTTTTCACTATTCAGAGTGATTGTTTGGCCCTGTTCTTTGTGTTGTTTGGAATTGGGGGGTTGTAGTTCTATGGTTGAATCCTCTCCAAGTTCCGTCCCGTGTTGTGTGAGACGTCATGTTTGCCTCCAACATCAGCAGTCACATGCCTTTCAGAGCGTGCGAAGCCGCCCCCCACGCAATTGGAGCGGATAGTATATGTAGGCTCTTAGAGCATGCCTTTCAGAGTCCAGAGAATGTGCAAGTTTGAGCATACTCTTGCAAGCCAGTCCTTCTGAGAAAGGGCTATTTTCTCATGTGGATATGCCACAGTCCTGCTCCAGCAGTGGTTCACAAGGTGATAAAGGTGACAGGAGCACTCAATCTGCGTCAAGACCTGTTTTTCTACGGGCTTAAGTGCGCAATCTGTGTATCAACATATCGTTTGGTTGCCAAAATGTTATTAGGTAGGTCACACAGACCGAGCCCATCGAAATGGGGCAATACAAGCAATCGCTCAACACCAGTTCAAACTCAAGAAACAACCTCCAAACTCCTACACCACATGTCAAACATCCACACAAAGATCTAACACGCGCTAAAATTTACTCTCAGAGCCGCCCTTCTACCATTGTTTCCCCGAAACCTGAGGACATCATCATTTCGGAATGGATGGGTTTCTATTTGCTTCACGAATCAATGCTGGAATCCGTGCTGATTGCCCGAGACCGCTTTCTTCGAGCACAGGCACTTCTTGAATATCTCAGCTGGCCAGTGGCGTAAAGCAGCAGTGAATCACAGTTAGACGTGCTTGATTTTTTCAGAAATAGGTCCATGCAGCCATGTTTCGCATGGACCAGTGCGTTGGGTGCCTCCTTTGCAGGGACGGATGCTTCCCTGCTCTGCAAGAATTTGGGCAGCACTCGTCGAGGCAGAAGATTTGCGGCTGGATATGGTGCGGGCACTCAGCATAAGGTATTGAATTGGCCTGCTCACTGGGTCCCAATCCAGATTGCACAATATCGTACATACAGATTGTACGCGGACACGAAGTGGCTGACACGAAGAGTGGCTGAGTGGCTGACAGGAACAAAATCCTGAGTGGTTGAGTGGCTGACAGGAAGAAAAGCCTGAGTGGCTGACAGGAAGAAAAGTCTGAGTGGCTGAGTGGCTGAGCGGCAATCGTCGTAGTAGAAGTAGTATTGGTAGTAGCTAACCCTTACTTGTAGAGTTGGACAGCTGTTCTATTGGAGTCAGAGCCGACGCAAAGACTGAAGTGTGTCTCCTTTGGCTAAAGCACCCTCTTGCCCTAACAGAGATTTATATATATATACACAAATGTTTGCCCCTACTTCCGACCCAATGCGTGCAAAAGCGGGAGGTAAACTTTACCCGCCAGATTTGCCATAACAATAAACCAGCTATTTCATCAAGACACTCTGTTCCCCTTTTATACTTTTTTCGAAGACTTATCTTGCACTACGGGGGGCCTGGTGCATTTACATTCCTTGTGATGCCAGAAATGCTTACCCCTATCTCCACCCAATGCATACAAAAGCGGGAGTAAATTTACCCCTCAGATTTGCCATAACAATAAACCAACTATTTCATCAATGCACTCTATTCCTTATATGCTCGTGCCCAAGTATGCGAGTTTTTGCTAACATATCCAGGTGGATGTTAGGATGTAGGGATGTTCCAGGCACTGCGCACGTGACTCCCGCGTGAGGGCTCCATAGCTCTATGTTTGCGCTTGTGCTTTGCAGCCAAAGCCTTGCCGATCCTCATTGTGCAAAAGAGCTGCTGACAACTGTTACTCTACATCCCAAGAACAATAGGCCCCATGCTCCAAGGAGCAATCAGCGTATGCACATCGCCATCATTAGTGTGCTGCAGCTCGCTTGCCGACTGATTTCACGCCCACTGCGAATGGTAGTGGAACAGCAGCAGGATCCGTTTCAGAAACGGAGGATTTCCACGGTCAATTCTGTTTTTAATATTGTACCTTGCACCTCTAAACCAGGCTGGGTGCCATGGAAATCCGGCTCGAACCCTGTGGGTACACGAGCTCAACGACTGCTGCACGGAAACAAACACCCCTGGCCTCAAGTACTCCTTCTACTACTGCTACTGCTGTGGCAATTGCCACTGCTGCTGCTGCTACTACTACTACCACCGCCACCACCACCACCACTACCTACTACCCACTACCTACTACTACTACTACTACTACTCCTACTCCTGCTACTACTACTACTACTACTACTATTACTACTACTACTACTAGACACCAGCCACTCAGCTGCTCAGGCTTTTCTTCCTGTCAGCCACTCAGCCACTCAGGTTTTTCTTCCAATCAGCCACTCGACCACTCAGACTTTTCTTCTTTTCAGCGACTCAGCCACTCAGGCTTTTCTTCCAATCAGCCACTCAACCACTCACACTTTTCTTCCTGTCAAGGCTTCTCTTCCTCTCAGGCACTCAGGCACTCAGACAATTCTTCTTGTCAGCCACTCAGCCACTCAACCACTCAGCATGTTGTTCCTGTCAGCCACTCAGGCTTTCTTCCTGTCAGCCACTCAGCCACTCAGGATCTTGAGTGGCTGAGTGGCCGGCCAGGATCTTGAGTGGCCGAGTGGCCGCCGCGAACCGCGACCCGGATTGCACATACTCTCTACAGACATACGAATAAAAATGCGCATGCTAATGGCAAAAAAGACAAAAAGGCTTGCCTTTTAGGTCATGTCCTAAGGACCACCATCTGAAGCATGTTGTCCCTACATTTTCTAGACAGTTCCAACATTTCTAGAGATCATGATGGGACGTGATGGTTTAATTTTATATTTATATAACTTGAAGCCCTAGAAGCGAAGTTCAAGAAACATTTATATTAATATATATATATATGTATCAATGAAATGTATATTTAAAGAAGGACATGCACACATCTCGTTCTACATGTGGCTGGGTTTAGGTCTGGGCAGCTGGTGGGTGATTGAGCTGAAGCTGGGGATGGGGGCTTCCTCCGTTAGTTCATAAATTTGTGCAAGTTTGGTAATTACAATTTGTTTGAATAAATCTTTGCCTCGGCACTTGCACTGCCCCTATTCAGTTGAGAACACCAGGTGCCCGGACTTGACCAAGTTGTGTGTACGAATATGTGTAGATAAACAAATTATCATGTATTGAACAGCCACAGAGTCCGTTTGAAGGGTGCGTTTCAGACCGACGGACCGACTTAAATCATCAGAATAAACGTGCAGCGTTTACTACCAAAGATCGAAAGTTGTCCACATGCCACATGGAAATGATCTAGGATGCAATACCTCTCTATAAAATGAAAAGAGGGTCACTGCTAACTACGTTGCTTTTATAGAGAAACCTTCCTTGCGTATGATTTTAATAGAGCATGTTGGTTTTATAGATAATCATTAGTGATGGTAGATACGAGTGACTTTATAGCAAACAATGTGGCAGATGTTCAAGTGAATATCCTGAAGATTGCCTCAAAGAAAAATATAAATAGAACATAGAGAAAGAACACACATCTAAATTCATGACGGGGAATGAGGTTAAGAACTATAAAAATAACAAAAAATATTTTAGACCATCAGATAATGTGAAGCGTGCCAGTGCCAACACAAAGTGTTTTTCTTTGGCATCATGTGGTCTATTCGCCAGCTTATTCCATAAATGTGTTCAATGTCAGATCCCCCCAGAAAAGCAAGGTGGTTGCAGTTGAGCAGCCCCTCCTGATTCCAGATATAAGTTTATAGGCAAGAATTGGGAAGTACATGAAAGTACTATGTATATATATATATAGATGATTTTGTCGGTTGGATATTGTGAAAATATGTCGTCAAATTCATTTAATCCCAGCATAGACCCCAAACAATGTCAAAACGATTCGTTTGGACCAATGTTAGTCAAAAACGATTTCTTGGTAATTACTATGTGGGACCAACAGTTAGAATATGCAACCCTTGATGTTTCCTTAGGTAATTAAGGACATCTTCGAGTAGTAGGGTTTTCGACCCTAGAGGATTTTGACTTGGAGTTAGAATATGAACATGCAGTTAGAATATGGCGCAATGATGTTGGAAAGCATTTGAAGGTGATTGACGCTGCACCATCAAGCTCCAGACTTCGGCGAAGCGATGCTCACATTTGTTAACATATAGATATTCGATCTGCACCAAAACACCAGAGGTGTTATGAGAATTCATTTGTGTAGCAAAAGGTGGCTTGAAGGTCATACAGCTGAATCGTGCGATCGAATTCACTATCACAAAAACAATATCTGATGTTATCGTTAATGATAATCAGTATTGATTTTCTGAGATCTCCATATTCTAATTGCAGGAAAGTCCCACAGGTGTTGCAAAAATATATGGAATTTATGACTTGATACGAACAGCCTATGACTTGAAACTTGTGCAGGAGGCAGCGTCAGTTTCTTGACTAGATATCAAACGCCATATTCTAACTGCATTGGCAACCATGTGTTTTCTTTATAATGGTGAGAAGCGATTGGTTCAACGTTTTTGACTTACTGTGAGATAAGAAACTATTGCAGAATAGAATATCAAACTGTACTGTAACCACCATGAATAGCATCAAAGAAACCATGTGATTTGAACCTGAGAACTAGCAATGGCCTCCCAATGGCTACTAACAATGGCCTCCACCCTACTAGCAATGGCCTCCACCCTTCTTGCAATGGCCTCCACCCTTCTGCCAATGGTCCCCACCCTACTACCCTAGCAATGGCCTCCCAATGGCTTCTAGCAATGGCCTCCACCCTACTAGCAATGGCCTCCACCCTAGTAGCAATGGCCTCCAGCCTACTAGCAATGGCCTCCACCCTACTAGCTGGCCTCCCAATGGCTTCTAGGAATGGCGGCCTCCCAATGGCTACTAGCAATGGCCTGCGCAGCAATGGCTTCTAGCAATGGCCTCCACCCTACTAGCAATGGCCTCCACCCTACTAGCAATGGCATCCACCCTACTAGCAATGGCCTCCACTCCACCCTACTACCAATGGCTTCTAGCAATGGCCTCCACCCTACTAGCAATGGCCTCCCAATGGCTACTGCTCGCAATGGACATCTTCAAGTAGTAGGGTTTTCTAGCCTAAAGGATTTTGACATGGAGTTAGAATATGAACATGCAGTTAGAATATGGCGCAATGATGTTGGAAAGCATTTAAAGGTGATTGGCGCCGCACCATCAAGCTCCAGACTTCGGCGAAGCGATGCTCACATTTGTTAACATATAGATATTCTGTCTGCACCAAAACACCAGAGGTGTTATGAGAATTCATTTGTGTAGCAAAAGGTGGCTTGAAGGTCATACAGCTGAATCGTGCGATCGAATTCACTATCACAAAAACAATATCCGATGTTATCGTTAATGATAATCCGTATTGATTTTCTGAGATCTCCATATTCTAATTGCAGGAAAGTCCCACAGGTGTTGCAAAATTATGGAATTTATGACTTGATACGAACAGCCTATGACTTGAAACTTGTGCAGGAGGCAGCGTCAGTTTCTTGACTAGAGATCAAACGCCATATTCTAACTGCATTGGCAACCATGTGTTTTCTCTATAATTGTGAAAAGCGATTGGTTCAACATTTTTGACTTACTGTGAGATAAGAAACTATTGCAGAATAGAATATCAAACTGTACTGTAACCACCATGAATAGCATCAAAGAATCCATGCGATTTGAACCTGAGAACTAGCAATGGCCTCCCAATGGCTTCTAACAATGGCCTCCACCCTACTAGCAATGGCCTCCACCCTTCTGGCTTCTAGCAATGGCCTCCACCCTACTAGCAATGGCCTCCCAATGGCTACTGGCAATGGCCTCCACCCTACTCGCAATGGACATCTTCAAGTAGTAGGGTTTTCTAGCCTAAAGGATTTTGACATGGAGTTAGAATATGAACATGCAGTTAGAATATGGCGCAATGATGTTGGAAAGCATTTGAAGGTGATTGGCGCTGCACCATCAAGCTCCAGACTTCGGCGAAGCGGTGCTCACATTTGTTAACATATAGATATTCTATCTGCGCCAAAACACCAGAGGTGTTATGAGAATTCATTTGTGTAGCAAAAGGTGGCTTGAAGGTCATAGAGCTGAATCGTGCGATCGAATTCACTATCACAAAAACAATATCTGATGTTATCGTTAATGATAATCAGTATTGATTTTCTGAGATCTCCATATTCTAATTGCAGGAAAGTCCCACAGGTGTTGCAAAATTATGGAATTTATGACTTGATACGAACAGCCTATGACTTGAAACTTGTGCAGGAGGCAGCGTCAGTTTCTTGACTAGAGATCAAACGCCATATTCTAACTGCATTGGCAACCATGTGTTTTCTTTATAATTGTGAAAAGCGATTGGTTCAACATATTTGACTTACTGTGAGATAAGATATTGGCCTCCCAATGGCTTCTAGGAATGGCCTCCACCCCAATGGCCGCCATCCTACTGGCTCCCACCCCACCCTACTAGCAATGGCATCCACCCTACTAGCAATGGCCTCCACTCCACCCTACTACCAATGGCTTCCCAATGGCTTCTAGCAATGGCCTCCACCCTACTAGCAATGGCCACCACGCTACTAGCAATGGCTTGCCAATGGCATCTAGCAATGGCCTCCACCCTACTAGCAATTGTCTCCACCCTCCTAGCAATTGCAAGCAATGGCCTCCAGCCTACTAGCAATGGCCTCTAAATGGCTACTAGCAATGGCCTCCGGCCTCCACCCCATTCGCAATGGCCTCTAGATGGCTACTAGCAATGGCCTCCACCCTACTAGCAATGGCTTCTCAATGACTACTAGCAATGGCCTCCGGCCTCCACCAATGGCCTCCCAATGGCTACTAGCAATGGCATCGACCCTACTAGCAATGGCCTCTAAATGGCTACCAGCCTACTAGCACTCCAACCTACTAGCAATGGCCTCTATATGGCTACTACATGTAATATATTTATATATATCTTCCATATTCTATCTCTCACCCTGGAATTTCCATATTCTATCTGCTTTTTTGGGCCTTAGGGTTTTAGGCTAAAACTATGTTCTAACTGTACCCTAGACTTTTTTTAGATTCTATCTGTCTGTCCATCACTGTACGCCCTATGCCTTTCCCCCCAAGAGCAAACTGCTTCATCAATGATTTTTGTCGGCATCGACATCGCCATTTGTTCGGCCACACTCCTCTCTAGCTGTTGATCATGTTCATGAAACAAATTGAAAATGGCCAATGCGTCTCACGGGCACATTATCGGGCGGCTGCCCGCCCAAACAGTTATATATTTGATGCTGAATGTGGTGTCAGGACGGTGAATTTCATAGACATCACGCCCTCTTCATGCCAGTTAACTTGATGGTATCAAACCGCGTCGATTTATAAGAAATTTGCGGGTCAACGCATTCATTTTATAGAGCTAGCTCATTTTATGAACACATTGGCGGTCACGCCACGCCGTTTTATATCTATAAAGTCTCAAGCAGGACCCCCTACTCCATTTTGCATCATCGATTGGAAATGTGTTTTTTGGATTTTTTTGGTGGGGAGTATTGACGGATTTTCATATTATAGCTCCAAAATCTACGTCCTACATCAACGAAAAGGAACACACGAATGATAAAACAACGGATTAAACAATACATCCGCCATCATTCTGCAGCAAACAAAAGGTATATCTAAATTTATGGCCCCCGGGCTTAGCAGAGTAACCTTGAATAAACATATATGACTGAACTCGTATAATTGTGTGCCTTTTTGTGCGCGGACAGACCGTATTCACTGTTATGGCAGGTTCGGCCTGAAGCCGGTCCAACGTTACGCAACGTTGTTTGTGTGGTGGTTGTGCGGGTCACAAGGTCGCACAGATCCTTGGTCGAATGTTGCTAGTAGCTTCTTGTTCCTACCAGTAGTAAGGCCAGGAACTACTAGTAGTGTCCTTGCTCCTAGTAAGTAGCGATGCCCTTTGCTCCTAGTAGCGTCCTTTGACGCAAAAGGTGGTATGCCCTTGGGAAGTCTTTTAGGGTCGCCGAATGGCCTTATTCTTATGGTGCAATACGGCGTGGTCGTCAGTCAAGATCCTGCCATAGATCGAGTATCGACAGCAGTTAGGAACATGGAGAGTCGAGACATGTCTGAAAAAATCCATTGTTTGCTTATTGTTTACACTTCCAAATGGCACCTACGCATGGTATTTTTTGCGCACGTGAGGCCAACTATGAAGACTTTTTGGGCCTTGACCTTCGGCTGGTTGGGGAGCAGCAGTTGGCTGCGCGAACTGCAGAGCCGCGAGTTGAAGAAGTTCACGGAAGGCACAGGAAGTCGAAAGCACAGGCTTTGATTGGGTCGATATTCACCGTAGAGAGAGAAAACCCCATGAACACTTGAATGGAACAGCAGTGTTGAGATGGGTCGGTACATGCAGGACGTTTATAGCGCACTGGATAGTTAGGATTCAAAGTGTTTTGCATCAACAGATGTGTGTCATGAGTCATGCCAGGTACATGTCCGGGACACTGATTTGATGCTGAGATGGTAGCTTGCTACTTCTTTCGGGGGTCAGTCAAACCATCACGGCTCCAGACACCGTGGCAAGGCGGATTTTAGCCGAACCACTGGTGGCGGTGGATTTGACCGACCTCCATCAGCTGCGAGTAGAGGGAACTCGTAATTTGGAGGAGCGCGGTTGGAGTTGGGCGTTAGGGGAGAGCTGAGGCAGGTGAGGTCCAACCAGGTTCCTGTGCTTCGAAGCGTCGGGATTAACTTTCCTTGTGTTCCAAGCCTGCAAGCTGCTTTGTACCTACTCCACTTAAAAACTGCAATTCAACTGCTTGGGCCGTTGGGCTTGACGGATGACTATGACTTCTTGTGTTTGAGGTCAAGGCCACGTTTGCGCCAGTTTTTTGCAGCCTCCACACTGGACCTTTGAAGTTGAGTAGTGTCTCTTCGTCCCACTGATTTCCACAAGGAAAAAGCCCGTTTGGTTTCCTAGTGCTTTCCCACTGGTTTCTACCTTTCTCAGATGCTGTGAGGCACAGCTGTCCTTTCGCACATGGCGCCAGGGCTATGCTGCGGGCATTGCCTTTTGGTTTGACGTTGGCTTTGGTGACTTGGACTTCCTAGTGGCATGCCGTATTGTTTTTTTTTCCATGAGCTTACCTTGCATTTGCATGTTGGTGAAGCCTACTGTTTCTGCAGCCTATCCAGAGAGCGTATAATGGTTCGGCCTGCGTTGCACCACCGGCTCCCGATCTGGCCAATTCACACTCGTATGACTCATGTATGATTCAACCGGGCATTGAATGCATTGGTCATAAACCCAGGGTCTTAGCCATCCAAGACTCACACCAAGCGGGTCCACGCTTCGCAAAGATGGATGAATTACCTCGTTTGGGTCAACTAGCAAAAATGTTCCAGACATGTTTTGCTTGCAGCACATGCCAGAGTCCGCCTGTCGAGGTCGTGATGTGATTTTGAAGACAGATCCCGGGTCACCGCCAACCCATTGGAAGCAAACGGTTTCTTGGCTGGGTGTTGGTCAAAGAAGCTGATCAGTTTAGCTGAGTTGTTACATGTAGAACCACATGCACGCTATACAGGATTGCAATTTGACTCCTAACAGCCCAACATTGCCCTGCCAGTGTTTGGCTCTGCCAACATGAGGGTTGTCGAACAGAGCCCTGAGCTTTGCGCAGAGTTTTGTTCCAGGGAGAACAGCAGAGCATGTTTTTTTTCTCTCGAAAGGGGAGTCAGTCGAATAGCATGTCTTTTGCAGGCGGATCATTTTGGATCCATGATCTTGCGAATGGATATGGTCAGGTAAAAACACCAAATAGAGCCAAACACCAAATAGACCCATATCCCGGTGACAACACATGACGCGGTCCAACACGTGACCCCGCTGGTGGACAGGTGGTGTATTTTGGCGCGTTCCCCGCGGTGGAGTCGGGGGATGTCTTGGAAGCCAACGTGGTGCTCAAGCAAAGTGAGGAGAACCCACGGCAATACAACATTTCGGTGGAGACCTTGTAGCTGGACGTGACACTCCAAGATCGGCCAAATACATTTTGACAACATTCAGTTGAAGTTACTACATTTACGACATTCAGTAATGCATTCATATGCGTTCATCATGTCCTTCGAATTGCGGGTAGTTTGTCGGCCGAACAGAACCCGAAATGTGACTGGTGTGCATGGCTGATGGCATGGCCATACAAACTCACATCAATATCTATTGAAGTGTTATCGTAGAATGGTGCAGTCCATGAAGTCTTGGGCAAAGTCACCCAGGGCTGATGGCAGCATTTTTGTTTTCGAGCAACAGGAGCGGGCAGTGCTTGGTCTTTGATCTATCTCCCATGACTGACGGAATCAAGCAAAGCAGTACTTTCTGACCAGCTCAATCGCCCATGCTAGGTTTGGTTTGGAATACTAGTGGCCCCCAAATAGACGGAAACGATATGAAACGATTTCCAATAGATTTTTAGTGGGGATCTACTTTTCTATCTATTTGGGGGTCTATGTACCATGTTTTAACCCCCTATGATTTCCCAGTGCACTATGTCACTATGTAATCGATATTAATCGATATCTACTCTGTCTATAAGCTCCTTGTTTCAGTGGTTTGCTCCATGCAACAGTTTCGCCGATTTCGCCGCGCGCTGAGTTCTGGCCTAGTCTCCACTCATACGACCTTCGGCAAAGGAAACCGCAGAGGGCTGAGAAACGACTAGGGTCCCAACCAGGTGACCAGGTCGAAAAGCTTCTGAAAAGTGCTTTTGAAGGAGGGAGTATGCACTGCTGGTCGGCCACCATTTGCACATGTTTTACAAGACTTTCTTTGGCATGGAGTTTGATCCTGATCCGAGGATTCGCAACACACAAGAAGGTAGTTGGCAGGGGAAGGCCAATTGCCGGGCTGTGCCTGGTGGGTGCGTTTCAGACCTCAGTGAAGCTAGAGAAGAGTCAAACATACCGCAGGGTTGTTCAATTCACCGCAGCCAAATGGCCGAAGATTTCCCAGAGGCTTCATGCCATGCCACATCATGCCACCATTTCTGATGTTGACTGCCAGGGACTCTCCAAATGGCCGGGAATTCTACGCCCATAGTCCTTTGCAGAAGTTGAAGTGGGAGGCTGTTCCGCAGAGCGCTGGGAATACGTCCACGTGACCTTCCAGGGGAATAAGACACAAGACGACGAGCCACTTCCTTTCCAATCTAACATAAATATTGCTCGGGGGTGTTCAGGACATCACTCAACTCTTCCTTTCAGGAGATGATGCTTTTCCAGCGCCAGGTCGGCCCACAATGCAGTCAGGGTATCGGTGGCCGAAAGGCGTGGCTGCTTTTCCCATTCCGATTGGAATCGGGCGACTTGTTCTGGGCGGCGTGGTGTTCGATGGAGGTCGACTTGGTTTAGTCGGCCATTTGACTTGCTTTTTCAGAGCTTGGCGGAAGCAGAGTCTCAAGGAATTCGCACCGGTTTCATGTCCATTTCTTTCCAGCAGGATTTCAGGAAAGTTGGAAGTTTGTGCGGCCACTTTCACATCTTTCACACGAACATCAATGCACATCGCCGTGCCAGAACATCAATGACACCTCAGTCCCCAACAAAGTGGGACCAGGACCGACCGAGGGACAGGACTATTCAATCCATGCACGAATTCTCGGCATTCGAAGATGATGGGTCACCTGTAACTATATATATACAAGTTCGCACGACAGCCGATTTCTGTATTTTGGCGTCCTGATATGTCCTGATCAGATAACGCCGTTTCAATGGTAACGTAGCCATAATCATGTTGGGATACTGTTGTGACCATTACCTGAACCAAGACATTGCGTCCCAGGAAGCTACAACATTGTGGCATCAGCAGCGCCTTGGTGTGATGGAACGGTGCCTTTGGCCCTGGTCTTTTGGAGATGCTTGAAACTTGAAATCCTCACACCAGGCTCAAATCAAACAGCTTAGCTTCACACAAGTCTTCGCATATGCTTCTAGTGAGACCAGCACAGGGGTGTGCGTCAAGATAGTCAATGTAAGTGCACAAGAACAGTTCTGGACATATCACTTAGATCAATGTTGGAACTAGGACGAACCACAAACCCAGGCTGACACCGCTTAATTACACCTGACAAGACCTTACAAAAACAGTGTCAAAGATGCCCAAAGACGGACCCATACCCGTAATGTCGGCTGCCCGAAGTCTCAATGTCTTTGGGATATGGCTATGGCAAAGCTTTGAGGCAGTTGAGGGGCTCTCTTCGCTGGCAAGATGTTCTTGCCATTGTTGCTACCCTGGAACCGTCCAGGGTGCTTTGTGCTGCAGCGGCAACTGCTTTGCGCCGCAGTATGCACTGGGAAGAAGCAGTGCAACTTCTCGACCAAATGACGAAGGGTTCTGTCCAGCCGGATGTTGTTAACTTCAATGCTACCATCAGTGCGTGTGGCGCTGCAAGTCAGTGGCAAGCAGCCACCTTTCTGCTTCATGACATGAGGGAGAAGCAGCTCATCCCCGATGTGATCAGTTACAATGCCTCCCTTTTTGCCTGTGACCGTGCAGCAGAGACCGGGCAAGCCTTACGATGCATGATGGCCATGCGCTCCGCCCATGTGGCACCAGACGAAAGCAGCTACAGCAGCTTGATGAGTGCAGTGTCTCGCTCTGGTGATTGGAAGGTTGTGCTTGACCTCCTGTGGGAGATGCCCAGAGCAAAAGTCACTACTGACTCGGTGTGCTTCAGCGTAGCGATGGGAGCTTGTGAGAAGGCGAGCGAGTGGCTTGTCGCTCTGGAGCTGTTTGAAATGATGCACGCTCGGCGCCTTCATCAAGATGTGTTTGCTTTTGGAAATGCCATTTGCGCCATGAGCAAAGGTAGCCACTGGCCGGGCGCATTGAAGCTTCTTGGGAGAATGCAGAAGGAAGGAATCTCTTTGGACACAGTGGTGTGCAACAGTTGCCTCACTGCTTGCGCAGCTTCTGCGCAGTGGGAGGCGGCACTGGATCTGTTGAGACTCATGACCGCAAAGAAAGTGGCCAAAACCACTGCCACTTGCAATGCCGTGGTTCGTTCGTTGGAGGCAAGTGGAGAACACAAGAAGGCAGTGGCTGTGTTGTTGCATGAATTTGTGGATGAGGAGCCCTCAGACGAAATTGAGCAACCAAGCATGTTCAGGTCGGCACGGCCAAAGCACATCTCCCAGGACTTCCGACGGAGCGTTGCTGAGCGTCTAGAGCGCGGCCTGGACTTCGCTGGTGGGATTTCGAGGCAGCCACGCCCCGTGGTTGCCATGGCCCAGGAGAAGGAAGAGAGGCCAAGTGCCATTGGCCCTGCTTGGTGCCAAGAGGCAACAGAGGCTTTCAATGAGTTGGTGCTTTCCAAGATCCGGCCGGAGCCAAATTTGGTGGACCATCTTGCCCACTTCGTCGCCCAATTGGAAAACACGTTGTCATCTTTAGGCAGGTATGGTCCAGTGCGTTTGGTTCCCTACGGGTCAATCATCAGCCGTTTTGCCGCCAAAGATGCGGACGCGGATTTCTCCTTGCTCTTCGAAGCAGAAGATGCGTCAACACGACAGTTCCAGCAACAGGTCCTCATTGAATGGAGAAGGGAACTTTTGTCACAAGGCTTCCATGTAAAAGCTATAGGTCTCGGTGGGCGAGTGCCAGTTTTGACGATTCAGTGGGGAAGTAACCGAACAGCGGATGTGACGATTGGCAATCAACTGGGCATCTATAAGAGCCAGCTGTTGCGAGACTATTCCCTTCTTGATGACCGCCTTTGCGCTTTGGTGATGGCCGTCAAGCACTGGGCCAAGCTGCGGCAGATTTGTGGTCAGACCAGGGGCTATTTGGGTGGCTATGCATGGACCTTGATGGCTATCTACTTTGCTCAGCGCTGTCGGCCACCATTGACTCCGCCATTGCAAGAATTGGCAGAACCCAAACTTTGGGAGCAAGATGGTCAGCTTTACAACGTGGCCTGGAAGGAAGCGAGCCAGGCACCGCTCCCGTCCGCGCGGACATCTGCTTCGCTGCTACAGGACTTCTTCCAGTTTTTCTCTGAAGGATTTGACTTCCACTTCGAGTCTGTGTCCATCCGTTTGGGCTGCCGAGCTATTCGCCACCGTGGCCCAGGCCCAGCTGCAGCTCGGCTCTCCTTGGAAGATCCCATCGAGACGGATTGGGATCTGGGGCAAATCCTTGATGGTCATCGACTGTCTCGTGTGCGTGCGGAGCTGCGCAGGGCCCACCGACACCTGCAGGGTGCTCAGGACCAGGAAGCAAGAAGCTGCTTGGAGGCCGTGTTTCAAGCGCGGGGGAGAAATCAGGAAAGCAAGCTCTGAAGGAGGTTTGCTGATATGTTTGTTTAGGGGGAGGGGGGGAATAGAATCGATACTGTAGTTGCAAACGATTGGTTTGATGCATCACTGTATCAGTAAAGATTGAGACTGGTAAGTGGTACCCCGCCTCAACAAATTTATTAGTAGGCCCACGAAAAGACACGCACATCACCAGCATCATTTGAGTGACTGGAACCAGCTTAGCGAAGCAACGCTTGTTCCAGGTTAGTGTTCAAACATTTTCACGTCAGTCATGTTGGTGACACTAGCCCTGAAGCATCAGAGAGAGCACACCATCACCTGCATTGGTGGTCATTCTCTCACAGATGGGAATGAGCAAAGTATTCTTTGGCTTTCGTTCCCGCTCAAGTGGTTTTCCAAAAGGCAAACATGCAGCTTGTTCATTGATTTTCCATCGGTTTCCATGTTCAGCCTCTCCATTGAATCGCCGTTTGAACAATCCCCGGCGGAGTCGCTGAGGCCAAAGCCCGCTCACCCTTGGACGGTCCTGAGTACTGCAAGACCTCTTTGGGAAGGTGGGTGAATTCGGGGAGCTCAAAAAGACTTGTCATTTGATCCAGACGCTGTTTTCGGACGCCCGTACAAGGCTTTAGAGCAGTCGCTAATGGACACACCGTGATCTCGATAGAGGGGTCATTAGTGGACACCTGTTGGAGATTGTTGGAGGGTCCCGGAACAGCTTCTGAATGTTGCAGTTGCAAGGCGACTTGTCCCAGCGAATGATGCTTCAACGTAGTCGATGGCTTGGGGGCAGCTCCTAGCCTGGTTTGTGACAGGAAGCTGCCAAGCACACTGGTGCCGGTGGACATGTGCTCCCCTGGCCCACATCACACCTATGAGGCAGGCTCCTGAAACTCAGACTCTAGGGCCTAGATTGGCCTAGATATGCCTAGATGGGCCTAGGGCATTCGTCTCTCAAAGGCAGTGCCAAATCGGCTGCACGCGAGGTTTTGAACTTTAACAGTCCAGCAAAATGTTTTTTGCATGTGTTTGCCACCTGTGATATGCATGGGCATAGGGCCGCTTATTTTGCTTCGTAATCTGCATGCGCAAAGCCTTGAACACATGAAGCCAGCATGCAAGCTCGGTCAGGAACATGTTGGCATCCGCACCTGATGTGTGTTTACTTCGCCCACTACAATTGCAAATTTATGCATTTGTGTGCGCGGGCAGAACAGTTCAATCTGTCGACGCAGGTGAGAAAACCATTGGATCACCACAAGCCAAACTACGGCAAGCCAGGGCACCTGACACGTGCGTGGGTTTGTCACTGCTATACCAAGCCATTCTCGTATGGCGTGCATCGCAAGCCAAGTGGCAAAATTTGGGAATGACCTGCCTGCGCTTTGCAGCATTGCAGAATTCAGAATGCTTTCGGAGCTACCTTCAGACTTCAGAGTGACCAATGGACATGTTTTTCCATGGCCGAACATGGATACGCTACATTCCCTTCACGTTTGTAGATCAAATTCGCAAGGCATGTCCTGCTGTCCAGTCGAGCATACCTGCCTGTCACTTCCGCATGACCTTCCGCATGAAAATCGAGGCCCTCCCTGTCATATGGCTATCGCGCCCCTCCACCAGAGGACACCGATGGGTCTTGGAGCTGAGTGGGGTCGAAGAGAGCAGTGCATTTGCATTGTTTTGGAGTTTCTTGGAAAGATGAACACATGGATACACATGGCAAAAGCTTTGAAACGGTGTGCCACTTCTGCCGCGAAACATGACATCGTTGAGATAGCATGACATAGCTTTTTGAGGCCATCAGGCCATCAGGTAGAACATGAAGTGGAGTCCACTGACGTTTGAAACTGTGCGGAGACGTTTGGAGGATTACATTTCGGATTAAATTGCCTTCAGTTCTTCCTGTCCGGTGGCGACTTCGCAGCCGCCATGTGTTGGCCTTCAAGTGAATGGCGATGTTTTTGCAGCCATCAGCCTCCAAAACCGTAGGAACCGCCAGTTTGCATAAACTTGAGGACCATGACTAGGCAACCACGACAACTGATGAGGGTGTCACCTGCTTAGTCTCAGAGCGTGTACAGATACACCACAACACGGAGGAGAGCTTTTGTTCAAAGGTCTTGGCGGACCATTTTTCTCCTCAAAGTTCACTTGGCATAGTCAAGTTGTTCTGACAGCGATGGCTGGAATGCACGCAGTTGCTCTTGGAAGTGGAATTGCTCCTGAATGGACTCTTGGAACGAGTTCGTGGCCGAATCGGGAAGTGCCAATAACGGTCAATGAGTGATGTAATAATGACGCAACAACCGCTGCAATAACTACAACTACAACGTATGTTACCATATACTGGCATTCGCCAGCTTCAAAGGAGTGCTTGGAGACGTGTTTTGGTGTGTCTAAATCATGTTGTTCTTGCGCCTCAGGAAGCATGACGAGACCTATGTGGGGCGGATGGAAAAGGGTGAATCCATTGAGATCACCACATGCTCCGAAGAGGTCTCCCAAGATCAGCGTGAAATTCTCCAGGAACGCCAGCTCATCAACAACCCGGTGGGGGGGCCTGCGACGGATCCGACTCCTCGGGATTCGAAGAAGAGTCATTAGAGGATATTATATAGGTCGATTCGTAAGAAGAAGTGAGCAGGTTCCACAAAAAATGAGCCAATTCTCACGAAAGGGTGCTTTTTGTTGGTTGATTGAAGCCAGGTGAAGATGTGCATGCGCTCTTGTGTGGACCACATCAACGGCGTGGTGGATGATGCAGCGACTCCGAAGAAGTCTCTTGGCGTTTCAACTGACCATAGGGACGAACGTCCGAAGTTCCTTCAGCTTGGCACTGTGAGCAGGATGGCATAGGAGTCTAAGGATGGCCCTTTGAAGGGGATTGAAAATGGTTCTCGATTCATCTTCCCTTTGCCATTTCGCTTTGCAAGCTTTTGACGCCCCAAAGTGTGGCTTTTTTCCATGGCATCCAATTTCTTTGTCTGCACCCCGCGTCGAGCAAAGCAGTCGCACCCAAGGTCCAAGCGGCCGCGGAAGGAAACTTCGATGCTGGATAAAATCAGCAAGATTGCGACTTGACACCATTCGGTTGTCATGAAACCGGGGACCTGTGCCAGGCTACTTGTAGTCTGAAATGCTGGCAACGACCTGTCAAATCATCCCCAGGCAAAGAAGAGTAAAACAAGTTCGGTGACGATTGATGAAGAACCATGCGGAATCATGTGGCAAGCAGAGGCACAAAGCATTTGCATTCGGCACGGCACCAAGGTGACCATTTTGCAGTGGGTGCCAGACTCTAAGCGCAACAAATTCAGCCAGGTGTGCAATTGTGCTCATACAAAGTGCTTGTTTGACATTAGTCCCAGGCAGCTTCTACAGCTTGCTGTTTTGCTTAGTTTCATTTTGCGTAAGAGTTGAGGACCAAAAACGGTGCCTGGTACCATGTAGAAAACATGAAAAAACGGCCCGTGATTCCTTTCGCATGTCGACATCTAAGGACTTAACCTGCCACAAGGTTCGTGCTGACCTGGTGGCTGGTCTCACCGTGGGTGTCATGGTGATCCCTCAGAGCATGTCCTATGGAGCCATTGCAGGGCCTCTTGGCAGTGCACATGCAGAGCTGAGATGTGAGAGGCATCAAACAACAAAACACACGCACAATCACACACGGATCAACAAAAACATATGGACTCATATGGATCAAGAAAACAAAACCATAAAGATCCAGAAAGGATATAAAAATAACAGAAAAGACATAAATAAAGATATAGGACAAGTATACAGTTTGAAAGGTTCCACATGTGCTGCAATTCGCTGGTGTTACACTGTGTGATGCCGCAATCCGAATTCATTCCCTACACACGCAGCACGCCATGGGGGGGAGGCCGCAGAGCCTCCCGCCAACACCTTCGCAGCTCCACAAAATTTGCATCTAACGAACTGCGCCTGCCATGAAATCATGTGTTCAAAACCCATCCTTTGCTGCTATCATGGTTTGGTCGCCCACAGCCACGACAATTAACTATGCCACAGAAGTCAAACATTCTAACTTTTGCTGTGCTTTTTGGCCAAAAGAAAACCAGCCTGTGCCGACTGCTGCTACTGCTGCAATGTGTCCCTTTTCTATTGTTCTTCTTTGTTTCGTTGATTCTAGCTTAACCCTCCATCCACTCCTTTGGCTCAGTGATGGTCTAGCAGCATGCATCCAAATGAATCACTCCAGTCCACTGTGTTTCACCAGTGGGCAGAAGGTTCCCTACACACGTCCTTGCCCTCGATGAGGAAAAATCTGAAGACGCTTCAAGTAGTCTTGTTCTTGTGCTTTGTCAACTGCCCCTTGCCTCTTACCTGACAACCAGGACCTGCATGTTCGATTCTACTGGCTTTCTACCTCCTGAATCAGGTTGTTTATTTGTTTATCAATGTTTATCTTCTTTTGATCCCCCACCCAGACAAGGCTGCAATGATTTCCCTCTAGGACATGATGTCATACGTTGACACTGGCCACAGGTCACGGTTCGAACATGTTTAAAGTTGATGCCCTTTACGGGGTTTTGCCAACCACACACTCTGACATTGGTTTTCAGTTAACTCAGTTCCCAAGTCGAGAAAAAAGGTTAGGGAAACGCAAGGTGAGTGAGTCGGCGAAAACAGTATGGTTTAGCATTGTTCGCAAGTGGCATCGAAATCGATCTGTACAATCGGCGCGGTGACAAGCTCAGCTGCAGGAAAGTGGGTTTAGGGGAGGAATCGTGTAAGGACCATGGAAACAAACCGATCAAAGTGGACAGCTTGATCAAAAGTTCAGTTCGCAGGTACACACTGAGACGCCTCTCAGTGCTTCCCATCTCGCTGCCTAGCTTTGTTAGACCAGGTTAGCAGCGAGATGCCTGGTCCTCCTGCGGCTTGAAAGTTGAAAAAACAGAAGCTCTTAGTTACAGAGGTGGACACACACAGAACGCCGATATCGGCGCTCTGGAGGAACTATGAGGAACTTACTAACCACCTAAAAAGCCTTAGAAAGGAAGAATAGAAAGACAGAAAGGGAAACGCAAAAGCAAGAGAGAAAGATAGGTGTAGTGACGAGGCCCACTAGTTACGAAACCTGCTAGTTACTGAATACTTAGCCGTATTACTGTAATTAAATGCACTAGTTAGCGAGCGGGACATTCGTCCTCGACCGCCCGGGTAGCTAGGAGTAGAAAAGGATAAACAGAAGGAAAGGTACCGACACGCAAGTGTGTCGAGTACCATTTCCTTCTGTAACCCTAGATAGCCGGTGGGATAGAAGCACGAATTCGGTTGCAAGGTTGGGGGGGGTGCGTGGATGTGCATGTGTGACATGTATATGGCCGTAAGCCCGGCGGCGTGGAAGGTGAGTCGCAACTGGACATGTCAAACTCACAAGCTCACTCGAAAGGTGGAAAAAGATCTTGGGCCCGACGGCATTGGGTTTTGAGAATCCAGTAGTGAAACAAAATCGGTTAAGAGAATCCTAGGCATGCAGGAAAACAGTTGAGTCTGTTTCACGAAAATCCGGACTGAAAGCGGCGCCTCCTTGCGGAGGATCACGCCCAGCACCCAAGTGGGACGACTGAGCGATTCACACTCTGACATGGGTTTTCAGTTAACTCAGCTCCCAAGTCGAGAAAAAGGTGAGGGAAAGGCAAGGTGAGTGAGTCGGCGAAAACAGTATGGTTGAACATTGTTCGCAAGTGGCCTCGAAATCGATCTGTACAATCGGCGCGGTGACAAGCTCAGCTGCAGGAAAGTGGGTTTAGGGGAGGAATCGTGTAAGGACCATGGAAACAAACCGATCAAAGTGGACAGCTTGATCAAAAGTTCAGTTCGCAGGTACACACTGAGACGTCTCTCAGTGCTTCCCATCTCGCTGCCTAGCTTTGTTAGACCAGGTTAGCAGCGAGATGCCTGGTCCTCCTGCGACTTGAAAGTTGAAGAAACAGAAACTCTTAGTTACAGAGGTGTTACAGAGGTGGACACACACACACACGGCGTTGTTTGGGGTAAGGTTGGCCAGGTTGGCAATCAAACAATGCTAATGCTATCATACAAATATCGTACAAGTACCGACAACTTCTGAAGCACCCTTGTGCGTACCCAACATATGTTTATTGTGGCTGTTGAGGAGTGTTGCCCAAAAAAGGGTTGACTTAGATCGCAACCCAGCGGAGGACCGAGGGAAGGATAGTATTACATATATATATGTATGGATATATGTGTATATGTATATAATATCTATAAATATATATATATATGTGTGTGTGTGTGTAATAAAGTTTTCCAAGCAGTTGTACCGGAAGGCTGGAAGGCTCACCAAATCTCAATTGAAGATAGGCCATTTGGTCCAGAAATGTCACGGGGGGCCCGTGGTAGGTCAGAAACCGCGCGAAGGGCCCCAGCTTTCCAGCTCACAGGCAATCCATTCTGGAGTCTGCTTGGTTCTATTTGATGCAACACACTGGAGCTGCGTGATCCGGAACGTCAATCTATATAGGTTTGGGTTCGGAGACACGGACCTGTTTCGCTAAAAGCATAATCTTTGCAAGGCGCCGCTGGCAGAAGAGATTGAGTTCGATGTCTTCTGAGGTTGCCCTACATCAACGGCATGTACTCCGCCTGTATCCCCACGCTGATCTACGCCTTCTTCGGGCAAAGCCGTCAATTGGCCGTGGGCCCGGTGGCGATGGTCTCCTTGTTGGTCGAAGCGGGCCTCAACGGCCAACTGGGCCCGGAGTGCACAGTGGAGGGGAAGCCACAGTACGAGGCGCGCCGGTGTGGCACCGGGCCAGAACTGGCGTTTCCTGGGTCAGCTGAGATGGAAGACCTAGAGCAATCCCAGTGAGCTCAAAATTCTTCTTGACTTCACGGTGCAAGCGAGGTTCCAAGACATGGCTGCAGAGCTCCGCGTTTTACTGTGTTTTTCCCCACCTGCCAGGTGAGGGTTGTTAGATTTTCAGTTGTTCTTCCTCTTCCTTCCTTCCTTCCTTCCTTCCTGACTTCCTTCCTTCCTTCCTTCCTTCCTTCCTCCTTGCTTCCTTCCTCGCCAACCTCCTCGCCAATCTTCATCGCCAATCTTCATCGCCAATCTTCATCGCCAATCTTCATCGCCAATCTTCTTTGCCAATCTGCTTCGCCGATCTTGTCTGGCAAGCTCCGGATCGCAGTGCGCACCCCTGGACCTCAACCGCAAGGATCCGATCGCAGTGTGCACCCCTGGACCTCAACCGCAAGGATCCGATCGCAGTGTGCACCCCTGGACCTCAACCGCAAGGATCCGATCGCAGTGTGCACCCCTGGACCTCAACCGCAAGGATCCGAGCGCAGTGTGCACCCCTGGACCTCAATCGCAAGGATCCCCTCGCAGTGTGCACACCTGGACCTCAACCGCAAGGATCCGATCGCAGTGTGCATCCCTGGACCACCGCAAGGATCCGATCGCAGTGTGCACCCCTGGACCTCAACCGCAAGGATCCGATCGCAGTGTGCACCGCTGGACCTCAACCGCAAGGATACGACCATCCACGCGCAGCGTTCCCTGCCGGACCTCTACCACAAGATACAACCACAACCACAATCACAAACACATAACCCGCAAACACAACCACAAACACACAACCACAAACACATAACCGCAAACACGCAACCACAAACACACAACCACAAACACACAACCACAAGCACATAACCACAAACACAAGCACAACCACAAACACAAACACATAACCACAAACACAACCACAACACACAACCACAGACACAACCCCAAACACAATCACAAACACACAACCACAAACACACAACCACAAACGCAATCACAAACACACAACCACAAACACACAACCACAAACACATACCACAAACTCACAACCACAAACACAACCACAAACAACCACAAACACACAACCACAAACACAACCACAAACGCACAACCACAAACACACAACCACAAAGACGCAACCGCAAACACACAAGCGCAAACAAACACAACCACAAACACAACCACAAACACACAACCACAAGCACACAACCACAAACACATAAACCACAAACACACAACCACAAACACAACCACAAAAACACAACCACAAACACGCAACCACAAACACACAACCATAAACACACAACCACAACACAACACCGCAAACACACAACCACAGACATAACCCCACAAACACCACAAACACCCACAAACACACAACCACAAACACAACCACAAACACACAACCACAAACACAAACACAACCACAAACACTCAACCACAAATACAATCACAAACACACAACCACAAACACAACCACAAACACATATCCACAAACACAACCACAAACACAACCACAAACACCCAACCACAAACACAACCACAAACACACAACCACAGCCACAAATACAAGCACAACCACAACCACAAACACACAACCGCAAACACATCCACAAACACACAATCACAAAGACACAACCACAACCACAACCACAACTACAAACACACAATCCCAACCACTACCAGTACCACAAACACAATCTCAAACACACAGCCACAAACACAGCCACAAACACAATCACAGCCACAAACACAACCGAAAACACATCCACAAACACACAATCACAAACACACAGCCACAAACACACAATCACACACACACACAACCACAACCAAAACACAGCACACAACCACAACCACAGCACACAACCTGAGGACCCACAAGCAAATTCGAGAACTACAATACTCACGACCATTCCAACATGCTCTTCACTATGGCATCAAGACAAGTGATTGAAGTGTCATGGTGGGGATCACTCGAAGTAAAATAATTTTGTGTTTCGGGTCAGGATGCACTCGGGGGGCCCAGATGTGACCAGGCCTTGATATACCAAAGGTGTGAGTTCTTCATCCGAGTTTTAATTTCGACCGCTGGTTGATTGCGCGCCTGGACGACTGTTGGTGCAACAATAAGAGCATGGCACACACTAGACATCACTAGACCTTTGTGGCCCATGGGCCAGCGAGGCTAAAAGTCATCCAACTACGCAAAGCAGGAAACCTTGGTATGATTCCAGGGTTGGCTTTCTCTTTGGCATCAGAAGGTGGTATTACATGATCTTCACATTTTTTGGCATACCAGACCTTCACTCTGAAGATCTCAGCAAATGTTTCACATCTGAATGCCGCTGAATGCCGCTGACCGCCCAGACGTGTCCGCAAGAATACGTGGGACTTGCATGCCTCACTGCAGCTGTGGTTGGAGTGATGCAAATCCTCGCGAGTTTCTTGGAGGAAAAGGTCACGGAGAATGCCTGGCAACCCTCAAACGCATAGCATCGGACATTTGATGCCTATGGGCTATGGGTTCTCAGACCTTGAAACCTGCGAGCAATCAAAGTGCAGCTAATTCGAAGTAGAGAAACACGAGCGTCCAGTTTTAACTTGTTCACCTTGAAGTAGAACGTGTCCCCATGGGTCTCTTTTTTAGTTTCACTCCAGGGTGTGCGTTGAAACTCCAAGGTGTCTTGAAGCTGGGCTTCCTGGTCACCTTCTTGGGACACCCCGTCACTCGGACTCAGCATCGGCGGTCGCACCGGAAACATCAACCCGGTTTTGTTCTTGATGCTTGCGTGAGAACAATTGGGCAGCGTCACTCTACACGTCCCCAAGAGTGCTTAAGTTGAGCTTCATGAGCCTGTTATGCATTTGGAACGGTTTGTCGACAAGTGAGAATACTTAGCAGAAACCGTTGCATATTCATTGACAGTTGTCAAAGATGCATGGTGGCATGTCCGGCTCGAGTATCAAAAGCCCCGACTCTGAGCTCATGGCGTTGCACCTGCCTCAATTGCCCCGCATTGGGACACTGTCCTCACAGTCCTCCGATGCTGGGGACGCGACTCAGTCATGCCCACTGATGGGCGGAAGAACCAGTTTCAAGAAGGATCAAGATTGGGAGATCATGATACTACTGGATGACTTCTGGATGTCAAGACTTCTGGATGATGAATGAGCACATACTGAGAGACCTAGGCATATCTTGGCATCATACCGCCGGCTGTTTTTTTCTAGAATGTGGTGGGTCGACATTGAACATAGTCATTGGCACCGACAGGAGCCGTGTTGTTCTCACCGACGCCCCGTGCACGGCAGGAATCCTTGCTGGAGCGCCGGGAGCGCTTCCGCAGAGGTTCAGAACCCTTGGCGCTTCAGAAGTCGGACGACGCCTGGATGAACGTGGAGTGTTGCAGCCAGTCTGCCAGCCAGTCTGGTTGAAGTTGATCAACTGATCGAACTGGTCCAATTTCTGTTCCTTTTGGGTTTCGGTTCCAGAAGTTGGTCCAAAGAGTTGCAGACAGGTGCAAGATTTGTCACATAGGAAGCTCATTCGGTTGTGATTATTCTCATGTTGGAACTCAAAACGCTTTAGGTATCGTTACGATCTTTACCTGTTTGTTGGAAGAATATGTGGCTTGTGAAGCGGGTAATTAGGGCGGAAGACGCACCTGTGATTGGCTCCATGTTACCCGTTGGTAATGATTTATGCTCTTTGCTTTGCCTGCATGCACATGCTATCTTATGGCCAAGCTATCTTAGGGCCAAGGGCAAACAAATACTTGCAAATAGTCTCCAGATCAAACCAAGTATCCAGTGTTCTGTTCTTTTACCAGGTCCCAGGGACAAACACAGAAGGAGAGAGGGGGAGCGCCTGAGCCTTGTGTCACGTTGTCAGATATGTTTGATAATATATAGTGCCTTCTTCGCCCACTGGCATAGGTGACCAGGTGAGATCGCCATTCAAAAGATTAGAATTGCCAAAGCTCCCGCCGGTTCACCTGGTAAAGCACATCTTAGAAAGACACACACTCATGACAAATGTTCGACCTGAATCCAGGTGATAGGTCACATAACCAGCCTTCCGACCAGAAGTGATGCCTCGCCTGCCTCGCTGAAGCGGAGGCGTTTGCCGCAACGGCTGAGGATACAGGGCCTTTCGGTCCGCCCAGCCCCTACCTCGACCTCATGGGCTGTGTTCCAGATCCGGACAGCCGTCGGCACAAAGTGCAGCTCCCAGCCTTGAGCCCGAGGCGTTCACAGCAACTTGAAGAACAGATCCGAACGTTTCCTTATGACCCTTAGAGCCATTTAGAGCCTTAGCGTGAAATTGAAAGGGTTCTAATATGGTTTTGTCATAGCCTCGTAGCAAAGAAGAGAGGGTATGCTGGCAAGAGGTCTTATTGCCAAAGACTGATCCCACCTGTGTCCAAATGCGCATCCACGTGCCTCCCTCGAAGTTTGGGCAGTTCGGTCTTGAGTCTGAAGATGCTTACCCAATTGAAGGAATATCATACTATCGCAGAACTGTTTGGTGTGAACCCGAGATGTTGGAAATTAATTCCATTGATGTTCCGTTCTCATGTGACAGGCTGACCAGCGACAGTGAGGCAGTCGGTCGATGCGCCAGTGAGGTCGGTAGATGTTGAGCTGATGGATCCACGAAGAGAAAAACTGAAGCTTCGATGGTAAAACACTTGCAAACAAACGAGGCAAAATCAAAGACACTTTGAGTTCACAATTCGTCGAACATGGTAGCGGGGATCCATTGGGCGCAGTAGATCGTACAGGACACGAAAACCGTTGTTTTGGTTGATTCCCCATGTTGTTTCGTGACATGCAGATACATCCATCGTTCTGTGTTCTGTTTTGTGGTGATCATTGATGAAACACCACATTGGAACCACGTCGCCTGGTGAACTTCCACAAGGGGAGTGGCCGGGTATCTAAACTCCACCGATGCACCTCTCCAGCTGGGGCAGACGCGAAACCTCCTCGGTTACGTACGATGGCCAAGGACGCGCCCCCTCTTTGAGGGGGGTGGCAGCGGGTGGAAGCTTATTAAGGTTATGACTCACACAACTACCCGTCACGCGGTGATTAGTGGGGGCAGGCTCTCCCCTTTGGGAATCAGAAGTGGTCAAAAGAATGCTAGCATTGGATCTATGCTTCTGGTGGTAGGTTTATGTTGCAACAACCAATTCTTGAGCTTGTGCCCCATAAATCGCCCTGTGATGTTTGTTTACGTGTCATTTTTAAGAAAGACACCATCCAGAAAGGTTGTACAGGATCACGTTTGGCCTGCTTTGGATTGCCCGGTTGCTGCTTTCATCGTTTTGTGCGAAGAATGAAACTACAAAGAGCCTGCTTTCGAAGAAGCATGCCAGAATGCGAATAAACATGCAGGGTTTGTGTGTGTGTTTTCGGTGGTGTTCCACAGGCCCCAGGTGGCTTTTTAGTCTCACCGCCCCGGACTTTCTACTTGAGACTCCGTCGCTTTCTTGTCCTCGCCGGAGTATTCGGGAAAAGGCATCGCTTGGCCGCTTGCATGGCTGCAAGATAAATCTCTCCATATGCCCTCCTTAGCATCACATGTGGTCATCATGGAGGATTGCTTGTTTAGTTTTACTGCGTATGTGTATGCATTATATATATATAAATATATATATATGTGTGTATAGTGGCCGTGCTCTCTCACGAGCGTGTGGACTTTGCATGACCGTTCACAGCTTGCACACCTGAGGTTTACTCGTCCTTCTTGGATCACCGAATGCCGCAGATAGAGGGGCATGGAGGGTCAACTTTTGGACACCAACAACCACACAAGCATACAAACAAGGATTTGCCCTTACAAACTGGGGCCGTGTGTCTCAGACTTTTTGCAGATCCAAATTTGGTTGTTTCAACCGATATGATCCGATATGCACAGATTTGATGCCACCAAGTGTCCTCGGATGGATTTGTGCTGCAGGTGATCAGCGGATTCACCAGTGGAGCTGCCATCATCATCGGCCTCAGTCAGCTAAAGCAGCTTGGACATCGCAGGGTCAGAAGATGGGGGCACCCTGGGCCCTTTATCGCATCGGCCTGATGGTTAAGGGGAACAATCCTGGGGTGAAAGCAGAATCATCCATAGAGTCGTCAAACATGTTTTTGTTCTTTCACGTCCCTTAGGAGAAATGCAAAGACACGCAGTGCACAAGCTGGGGTGTCAAGAATAGTAGTTTAAGGACATCTCAATTGTGCACAAGAACTTGCAAGATCGCCACGTGATATGAGAAGATCTGAACTGGTGTAGTTGTTTCCGGTTGGTCCAGCTTGCTGGCTTGTCCTTGTCATTGCGTCTCAGGTACATCTTGGGTTTTGACTTACCCAAGTCCCAGTACATCTATGAGACGTTACTTGCCGCAGCTGAAGCCCTTTGTTAGGAAATGTGTTGGTGGATCCAAAAGCCATAATCACATAACTATAAAAAAGACCATCCTGCATCATCATTTGTTCAATCCATTGTCGCACAGACTTGCAGAGAGAGAGAGAGAGAGTTTGCATGTCCTCTTGTTGGAGACCCCATCATCGCATCCAAATATAAGTGGAGATTCATTGATTGAGGATCTACAACGTTATCATCAAGATCGATCAAACCAAAGGTATGCCTTTGCTCCTGGGTATCCTTTGGATTGCTTACTTGAGCCTTGGCAAGATGTGACGGAACTCAAACCTGGGTCACATTTGCTCGCTGGAAACTCATGAATGTTCAGTGCGGGATGTGAGAACCTGGCTCAACCGAGCAAGATGTTGGCGTATTTCCACAGCTGCCAATAGCTTTCAATGCTATTAGGTTGCAGGCCATCGCCAGTAGTTTGGAGGCCATCGCTCTTAGGTTGGAGACAATTGCTATTAGGTTGGAGGGCAGGGCGGCCTTTAAACAATGTATCGGTGATGTTCGGCTGCTGGAACCCTCAAGGCTTGGCAACAAGCACTTGGCACAGAAGTACAAGCGCTTGAAGATGCTTGGTCCGCTGGGGCCTCTCATCAGCTGCTTGGTGGGGACAGCTGCTTGGCCTGATGGGAAAACTACCGGCAAAGCCTTATTGGCAATTTGGGGATTAGATGTGATTGAGCCTCATGTAGCGCACCCTTTGATTTGTTGAAATCTCATTGAATGAGACACCTGTGAATTGCTATATGCTTTGCCACCCTGCTTTCATCACAATCAAGACCTGCCGTATGAGCTAGAGAGGCAGCAGCTGAATGTGGCTTTGAGGTGCTCATCGGTGTTTTTCACGAGTTCTTCGCTGAGACTTACCACGTGAAATACGTGACTTGTAATGAGTATGTGAGAGCATGTGTGTTGTTTGCTGGTTGAAGCCCCCCCTTGCTCTCAAACAGTGACCCCCAAATAGAGAAAAGTCACTCCCCTTGACATGTATTGGATGGAGCTGTTGTTTCTTTTTCGGAGGTCACTTGTTCAGAACTCTTCACTGGATGGCAGGTGGGGGAGATACCATCCGGCATCATGCCCCTGAGCCTTGATGCTTGGCAATTGGACAAGATCCCCACAGTGCTGGGCACGGCGATGTCGGCCTCTCGGTGAGTACTGTTGGATGGGCTTGGATTCGACTGATTAGCGCAAGAAGACACTAAGTTTGGGCTTAGCTCTGGTCTAGCAGTGTATATAGTATGCATGCAAAAGACCCCAGGGACAGTTTTAAATGTTGTAAGCAACATTAAACAACTGGGAAAAGCTTGTTTCTCGACTGGTCAGAGGCTTTCTATATAGATATACAGTATATAATCATCGTGATTTATATCATTTGATGCATGGGTTCCTTCTTCTGACTGAATATGTCACTGAATGCCTGGTCATGATGAAGGCTTGCTTAATTGGGTACATGGAGTCCATCGCCATTGGAAAGAACCTTGCTGCCACCAACGGGTATGATATCGATGCGGGGCAAGAAATGTTGGCGCTTGGCATCGCGAATGTGGTTGGCGCAACTTGGCTGTAGAATTGCACAATTTGACCTGTTGTTTGGGGCATCATGAAGCGCGATGTGGCAATGTGTTGCCAGATTTAAGTGTCCCGGGTCAGGATTTGGCAAGTGCCGGCACGCCTAAGAGCCAAAGGGATCCAAAGGGAATCGGCGTGCCAACACCTCTTATGTTGGTATTATCCGACAATTCAATTTGTAATGCCTCCACACACTGCAACGTCGAGCCTTAAAAAGACCCACAACAAGTATCAAACATTTAGCATCATTAGCTATTACCTGGCCGGAACATCCAGCCACATCCCAAGCTAGGCTTGTCCCAAACAAGCAAGCTCCAGTGCCAGCTCCTTATCGGTCTTTGAACTTGCTAACTACAGAAGCTCCGCAGTTGAGGCCGCCTTCAGTTGCTACCCAGTGACAGGATCCTTCTCGCGCTCCGCGGTCAACAACTCCACAGGGGCCTTGTCACAGCTTTCAGGTGTGATCACTGCCGTGGCGCCCTGGCACGGCAATCGACATGGGGATCAAGCACAAAAATACAAATATACACTGCAGACCTGGACACTCAAACACAATAGAAAAAGGTACGTATATATATATATATACGTCACATAACGCGTGTTGAGTCTCGTGTACGTTTGTTTGCGATTGGGGTAGGTTGACAGTCCTGGTAGTCCACAGGATTCATTTTTGGGGCTTCGCCATAAACAACCTGAAACACTTATATATCCAGCAGTTTGACGTCAGACTTGCTTGCTGCTTACTATCAATTGATTTCTATTGAAGACATGTTGCAGAATGTTGACCGTGGTTGGGAGGGGATTACTTTGAATCAGCAGCTCAAGTTCCAATCTTCAGCCGTCAAAACAAGAAAGCAAATAGAATTAATAGAATAGCATAATGGAATGTACGTGTGAATGATATACATGTATCAAAAAAAACTCCCATGAAGTTGATCGCAGGTTTGTTTACATACTCTCGGTGCGTGGGTCCATTCACTGAGTGTTTATTTGGTTGCACCTCAGGTGATGTTGGCCACACTGATGTTCTTGACCCCTTTGCTGCTTGGTGGGAAAGGGACTTGGGTGTTTGATCCGTACGTTGGGAACCGGCTTGCAGCCATGGAGAAAGACACATGCTTCACTGCTTGCAGTCCTGGCCATTCCTTGGGCTGCTCACCCAAGAGCCACAAAGAGAGAGAGAGAGAGAGAAAGAGATGCGATCATTTTCTTCCAGGTTCCAGCTCTTCCACGTTTCCCATTCCGCAGTATTTAGTTTCAGCCGAGAGCGATGCTTTCTTAAGAAGCCGGGGACAGTATTTCCTGAATCAACAACATTTGCATTTGCACATTTACTCCTCAAAGGCCGGTGCGGAAGTGTAATTAATTTGTTCTGCAGTGCAGGTGGTTGGTGACACCAGGTGAATCTCATGGATGAAACCTCGCCAGAACTTCTGCAGGTTCTACTACCTCCCCAAGTTTGCCTTGGCCGCTATCGTGATGAACTCGGTCATCCCTTTGGTTGCTTTCGGAGAAGCCAGGCACCTTTTCCATGTGAAGAAGCACGACTTCGTGCTTTGGGTGCTGACCTTAGGCCATATTGATTGATACAATGGCTTCAAATAGTTCCCAGTGGGGGGTCCAACAGGGAGTTGCTCAAGAAATGGATGTCTCAATCGAAAGCTTTGGTACGCCAAGGTGACGGCTTTTCTGGGCACACTCTTCTTGGGTGTGCTGATGGGAATCTTGGTGTCTGTGGGCCTCTCCCTGGTCATTGTCATCTATGAATCAGCCAGGCCACAGATTACCATCCTTTGGCGGATTCCAGGAACATCGATCTACCGCAACATGAAGCAGGAAAACAATGGGACCTTCATTCAGAGCCTTGGAGAAGTTCTTTGGAGAAGGGGTTGAACCAATTGAGCAAATGGAGCGGTGAACCATTTTCGGCTCCACAGAGCATCACTTTGATGAGGAGTGCTTCTCCAACTGAAGACTAAGGCCATTTAGCGTCATTTACTGGTAGCAATTTCCATTGCGACCATTCCTCCCTCCAAGGGACAGTTCCCATGAAGGTTCCCTGCAAAATTGTTGTGCTCAGAGACTCAGAGCAGCAAGGAATGTCTTCATCGCTCGGATTGGCTCATCTCTCTACTTTGCAAATGCATCCTTTGCCACTTTGATGCATCGGGAGATGTTTCCTCTAAAGAGCAGTCGCGAATGGTAGAAAGTTGGCTGAGGCCTTGAAAAGCACCCCTCAAAAGTGACAATTCAATGCAGTTATTCAGCCGAGTTCCAAGCGTGACTGGAAAGGCCCCCCTCAAGAGCGATAAGCTTGTTGAATGATGTCATTTTCTTTGCCCAGCCAAGAGTCGTCGAAAGATTGGTATGGTCAGAATCTGGACTAGAGATCGATGAGATGGCCATGCTGTTACACGCGTGACCATGGAGACTCACTCAAAAGCTTGTAGCAACTGTCAATGCTTTGGCCATTTCTTTGCGCAAGGTGAAGGAGATGTTGCTGGCCCATGTTACCGACCTGGAGGAGGTGAACAAGACGCAGTACATTGTGCTTCGCTCCTAACGAAAGAGCGACGCAGATGCGGGGAGATTTGACTGAGGGGCCATTTCCCTGCTCAGGCCTTGCGGTTCTTTGACACGTTTCTTCACTCGAAAAAGACAATAACATACTGTAAATGGCTTGGTGGTGCCACGGCGGCGACACGCACAGATGACTCATGACATGAACTCCACACACAAAAGCTGTCAGCTCATGCATGCTCCCTTGCTCCCCCAACTCAAGCCTGCACCCCTTCATGAGGAGGAACGAGAGTAGGTGGGCTTGCGACGCAAAGTTCCAAAAGTGGTGCCCTCTTTTCGTGCTTAATTTATCTTAATTTTACTTGGAAGATTGCAACCCTTTATCAAGCCTTTGCATCCTCGTGTCTTCTTGTTCCTAGTAGTAAGTCCTTGCTCCTAGTCTTACACACTCAGTTTGTGCCCTGTCGCTGCAGGTATTGGAAATGAGACTTGTTTGATTTCTATTCGCCCAGGGCAACCGTCGAGAGAGGTTTGTTATGTTGCCTTTCGAGGCAGAGCGTGATGTCGAGTAAGTATCCAAAGCCATGCCTTTGCAGAGACTGTCAGAGACTGTCCGCAGCTCTTCGATGGCCTGCGTAGGTATTGCTTGTGTCCAACTGCTGCCACCAAGGACACCGGTGATTAGTGTGGATTCCACCGCCTGCCATGTCATCAAGGACGTGGTGAATGATTTCCGCATGCGCGGCATGCACGTGGCCTTCGCGATGACGGGCAATCGCGTGGAGAAGACCTTGAGGAAGGCTGGACTGAAGAAGTTCATCGGAGCCCGGACCGCACGAGCGGGTTCGAGCGCATGGATCGAAGCCGACGAGCCGGGTTCGTGGGAGCGGTCACTGGCGGTCACCAACCGATCGATGTGAGACATCATTCAGCCACGGTAGCCTGTATAGCGATTGAATCATACACATACACATGCAATCACATGCATATATTTAAGCATAGTTGTATACACACAGATACACACAGTAAATTATACTATATATCATTACGTGTGATAATGACTTTAGCTCAACCTACTTGGCCTTGCCTGTCTCACTTGGGTAGAATCTGGCTGCAACCTTATCTCAGGAGAGCAGTGGTTCTTCCCCACGGTGGAAGAGGCGGTGCAGTATTGCGTGAAGCATCAACATGCAAGGCCGGGACGTTTGTTCGGTGTTGACCGATATCGCTGCCAGATGGCTCAGATGGCTCTCAGATTCAGATGGCACTCATTCTCCATGAGCCTAGCCAGATTTGAATCAAGGGACTTCGATCTGCGCATCCAGGAGAATGCAGGAGACTTCTGTATATGGATTTCTTCCAGATTCTAGGATCTTCTAACAAGATGTGGTGCGCGGTTCGGGGATCCCCCAGCCTTGGGAGTGCAACAAGCTCCGCGGAAGTTGGGTTAGGCCGCTAGGCCTCTGGTCAGTTGGAAGTTCTGTTCAAACGATCTGGAGTTGCCGATCTTCGTGTTGCTGTCAGGCGACGGCAGAGCGAACGAGAGGAAATGGAGTCTCAGAATCACGCCAAGAGTGACGAGCTCCTTGGCTGGTCGAGCTCTTTGGTGGACCGGTGGATGATGTGTGAAACGTCGTGAAAACAAGGTGTGCCCGAAGCAGGGCAAGAAGCACCACATTTTGTACTTAACATAACATATTCGAAGGCACAGATATACTGTAAGTATAAATCTTGCATAAAGTGGCTAAACTCCCCAGAACCAGTTCCTGTATGTTCCTGTAACAAATGCCGAGTTAGGGGATTTTCCAAAAGGAGGTTCTGTGTGCGTCGTTCGTTTGGCGTCGACAAATAACGCATACTGTAGCGTTCTGAGAAAATCAGGCTCACGTGGGTGTGTTTTTATACTGACACTGCGTGGTGCAAGTAGGCCAATCGGCGAACCACAATAGCAGCGAAAAGAATTTGAATTCTATATAATATATAACAATTCATATGGTAGTCGATCGAAAGGTCGACATAAGGCCTGTGCCACTGAGAGCCTCTTCAAGTTGTCCGGGAAAGTTTTTTTTCTCGAGTTCGCGAACGTTATTGTTATTGTTTTTTTTTTTTTTTCTGGCGAAAGATTTGCGAAAGAGTCTATTATACTATATATTGTATACATGAAGAGGCGATACCATCATCAGTGATTTCATATGTCACTCACGAGACCCTGGAAAACGGGTCCGGTGTGAAATG